AGTAGCAAGAGATGATCCTGAAAAAAGGGAACATCTGTGCTCGCCTGTAAATGAGGTGCTGGTTATATAAGTTCTTCAAGTTTTTTGGCAAATTTCTCTATTAAGACTTGTCCATTTACTCTTGAAGATAACTTCTTTCTCAGATGATACTTTCACTTAGCATTGCACAGCATTCAAAGCACTTCTCTATTTCAGTCAAAATGATTTCCAGTTTTAGCATTTGGCTCAGATGAGGTCATCCAACTGTTAATAAAAACACTTCAATTTACTGGATTTTGTTAATACAGAATGAGTTAGTGCCACTCAATTCTCAAGAGATACTGTCATTAACAAAATAGAATGGTTGGAGGCACAACGTACCTGCCTTTTTCTTTCTAACACCACCTCCCTTAAAAAGCTTATCCAATCCAATCTCCCCATTTATTCTTCTGACTTTGGAATTTAAGAGACCCCTTGGAGAACACATATGTAGATTACAAAATTTAAGACTATTTCATCCATCATGACAGCCTAAACATCTTCAGCCATGAAATGGCTTTCCAATCACAGCAGTCTGAGCACTCAACAAAATGTCTAAACATGCTTTGATGTTAAGTGTAGTAGTCGGTTCTGACCCATAGTGACCCTGTATAGGGCTTCCGAAGAGCAGCTGGTGAGCTTGAACCACCGACCTTGAAGTTCAAACAGCTTTGCAATCTGGCACATTAACCACAGTGCCATACCAGTACTGTCAAAGTGGTTGCTAAATTAAACAATTCATTGTGATTATTACACCCAAGGATTGAAACCTAAAACTCAATATTGGAAGGCTTCAGAAAGTTTGTAGAAAATAAGGAACTTTCCGAAGCTCCCGCATATGCAAAACTCACCAAAATTTGATTGTCATAAGCAGAAAATTGTAATTACATTATAAATCTCTAACAAAATTGTGGCAAATGTCAAGAATTAACCAAAGGAGCTCTGGTAGTGTAGTTAGGCTAATTTCAAGGTTAGCAGTTTGAAACTACCAGCTATTCTGTGGTAGAAAGATGAGGCTGTCTGTGCCCATAAAGTCAGAACTGACTCCACTGCACTTAAAAATTTTATAGAATCTATATTCCAGAAACATGAAAATTATTTCTTAGAGATCTTTGAAAAGCCTGTTATGTACCAAAAAGTGGATTGGATTTATGACTCAACTACCACAGTGACTGAAATGTAACAATCCAAACAAGCAACTACCCACTTTCCCTACTCAATTCACCAGTATCAACTTTGATTAGCCTGTAGCTTTCCAATTTACATACCAACCTGGTGTGCTGTAGGATAAGCACTAGATTGCTAACTGCAAGGTCAGTGAGTGGCTCAAGGGTTCTGAGTCAGAATGGATTCCAACGCAGTAACCACAATACAGCTAATTTAAGGAAGATCAATTCATAGGAATTAACTCAAAACCCCATAATCATAGTTCCTACATAAAGTTACCAACATTTATCTTGTCTTCTCCCATGCCTAAATTTCAGGAGTACTCACATATAAATGCACTAGGATTTTCCAAATGGCAAAACAAGATAAATCGCTTTAAACATTTAAGTCTATATATCCAACACCTCAAACAAAAGCATTTGATAATTTTCTAACAGGTGTAGGCCATTTCTCACCTTCCATATTTAAAAGGAGTGACTGCCTCCCTCCCGCCTATTTAACACAGATGTCATAAAAGCTAGATTCAACCCCAAAATGGGTATTCTGACCAATCTGAAAATATGCATTCCCCGGAAGCCACTGCTCTGTAGCAGGCTATTGTCATTAGCTGCACTGTAGTCAGCTGACTCAGTGTAGCCTACTGTGTTGAGCACTGTAACATAGGGTTTTCATTTTCTCTCCTGTAACAAAATGTTAAAAATCTGGAGGAAAATCAATCAGCATAAGAAAAAAAAGCTTAAAGTGTTAGCATAAACTGTCAATGTTTAACTTTAATAGATCTATAACTTCAACAGATTTCAGAATTTAAGTGGCCAGCTACATAATTTTTAAAGTAACAAGATCATCTTTACCAGTGCTGAGGTTGCCCTTATTCCAATTAAAGCCATTTCACGATGTTCCACAGTGTAGGATAATTAGTTTGTACTTGAAACAAATTTTTTATTTTAAAAGAGCTCTTGCATGCTGAGAGATGACAATTTAGTGCAGGTCAGCATACTTTTTCTGAAGGGCCAGATAAACATTTGACTTTGCTGGCTACATAACACAATCTCTGTAGCATATATATAGATTTTATCATTTCAAAACATAAAAAACCTGTACAAAAACAGCCCAAAGGCTTAATTTTGCTGATTTACACATACCATACTCATTTCCTATGCTTCCACTTGCATGTGTGGCAAAACCTTATTAAAATTATCTTAATAACCTAATCACTTCATGAAACTATGTATTAAGATCACAAGCTTTCTTTCCCAATATTCTCAGTATTCCATTCCCCTCCAACTGAAATCAACTTATTTCAAACACTTGTCAAATAACCTCCAAACCTGTATAACTTGAAAAAACTTTTATACTATGAGAACATGGCAAAGCTAAGCAAAAACAGGAACTGTTCTGTTAAGTGTCACTTGTATTTATCCCAATAACGAAACCCCAGAATTTGTGCAATGTTGATAAATTACTAGGACCTGGAAACTGACTGTAGTTTTATTACTGTTATATCCTGCAAAGCATACTACTAATAAAAATTTCTGGGCTTTCTGCAATTAACTTGTAGATCTGGCTTAAAGTGTTCAGACTAATGAAATACATATGTTCGCGTTAATCTCAAACTGTAAATGTTTAGGTTACAATTTATTTTCTAAGTGCAACACAAGTAGAACTGCATGTACCTGGATGCTCTAAAAGGTCACTAATATACCTGACATTCTTAACCTTTAGACTCAGTACAAGTTGGGCTCTACGTGCTTTTTCTCCGTATTTGTTCCTCTCTTTTAATACTTATTGGTTCCCTTCAGTGTTTTTAAAATTAAAAAAAAATCCAATTTACAGTATTTAGGGTTTGTATGCAGCTCCCCAAACCAGAGTAAACTTCTATTGGTGGAGTCATCTCTAGGCATTAGAAAAATAAATCAGATTGGACTATTAATGTCCTCTCATTCCAAACCCATTATCAAAAGCTCAAGTGTATTTACAACCCAGAAAATCATGTCGTTTCCAGTTTCAAAATAAAACAGCTATACGTATAGTACCTAACGACATTTAAAATCTTTCGGAAGTCTCAAAGCATTTATCTAATACATCCTCAATTATTTCAATGCAAGCTGAAATACCTAAATTAAAATCTCAGCTGTTGTTCCTATTTGAAAAATGCCAAGAAATAAGTTCACTGAAACACTCCATCATACATTTTAGGATCTGTGTCTTATTAGATTTTTGTGTATTTATACCTATTGTCAATAACAAGTGGTACAGTACAATTACCTTTCATGCGTAAAACCTGATTTGCTAGACTTACCAATTGCTTATATCAATGTCTACCCTTGACATTCATTGCATTAAGAATTTAACATTTGCAACTTAACACTCAAGACACAAATCCTTTCCAAATGTAATTCAACAACCTGTTTTAACAATCTCTGTAAGGGAAAAAACTTAAATGTACTATGAACTACTTTGAATGTACACACAGGTCAGAAAATAGGAAAACGTAATAAAGGGAATCCTATTTTGTTTTTTTCTAATTCCTAAAAAGTGAGCATGAAAATAACTTTTATGTTTAGTTATTACTCACCAATAAGAGAAAGCTAGGTTCACAGTTTTAGCTCTTGACAAAATGAACTAGGAGGCAAATGTATATCCATTAGATACAACTAATGGACCAACTTTAAAGTTTGGGCTACATTGAAAGTTTGCAACATACCTGATATTGCTTGCTGTGTTCTCTTGTGACAGACTGCCAGTGAGCAGAATCATGTGCAGTGTTTTTATTTAATAGCAAGTGTTTTCCACAACATTGCTTGAAATCAAGTGATTTATAGCTACTGCCGTTATATTCAGAAAATGAATTACTCACATCTAAACAATGATTTAGGAATACGCATGTTGCTTTCTCAAAAGGGGCTAATAATCCTTATGGACTAATTAATACTTGCCTCTGGGTAGATTTGTTTGTAAATATATAAAACTATATTAGACATTAGCACCAGTGCAGAAAATGCTCAGCATTATAAGATTCAAAACACCAGCACAAGTTTTATCCACCATTAAACAATAACGATCTCTTCCCTAAATCATCAGACCAGTGATTAGGTGAATAAATCTAATCCAAATAAATAATTCTTATATTGTACAATATTATAAACAGGAGCGGCCTTCAGAAAGTTCTTGGAAAATGTAATGCATCCACTAAATTTCTGAATCCCTCACCCCATGTATGGGAGAACCAATCAGTTAAACAGACATCAAATTTAAGATAATTCCTATTTTTAAAACCAGACATTACCAAGCATAGGTAGATTACTAAAAATTATTGAGTGACTAAAGACCTTGAAATGAAATAAATTCCTTTCATGTTTATCAATAAATGTGGCAGGAAAAAAATCCTAGAAAACCTGTTTATTGATCAGTCTCTCCAAGTATATTTTAATAAGTGGTGATGCTCCCATTCAAGGAATCCATTATTAACCTAATTTTGTAATGGTGGACGAGGAAAAGGGTAACTTATCACCTTTTGTGGAACAAACATTCAGCTATCAACTGAAAACCAAAATTAATAGCAATATAGAAAATTCAGAACAGTAAGATTTTTGGTTTATATTTCATGGATAGTGCTGTTGTTCCAACCTTATAAGGTAAAGCTGTCTGCTTTCCAAATTTCAAAAATTAAAATGCTTACCCGCTCCCCCCCTTACCTACTAACCAGTGTCCTTTGGTTTCTTTAGAATAAGGAAGGATTAAAGGATTGTTTATACAAACACAATTTTGATTTTGGGATCTTTCAAATACACAAATCATAGTGAAGGGTCAGACACTTATTTTACAGGAATAGTTTACATAGTATGCATTAGCCATATCAACCTATTCCACCTACACTGATGGAAGGGGAAAAAAAACACCCCACAACCATGTAATTACTTCACTTGACAGGATTTGTCTTTCAACAATTAAGCTTACACAACTTTCACCAGTAATGTGTCTAGTTTGGTTTTTAAAATGGGCAAGTCATATAGTTGAAATTGTGAATCAAGTATACTTTGAACCTAATGAACCATGCATAACTGCAGGAGCAAGGGTTAATAAACCAATGTGCTTTGAATTTGTTCAAGTACTGATATTTTTGTATATAAAGATTTAGCATATATAACAGCTACCATGAGAATTGAAAATATTTCCCCCCCAAATGAAAATATTAAAACTAAGTTAAAATACATAAAGTAGTTAGTATTCCACACAGCATAAAAATTTGACAAATCAAGTTTACATGTCCCAGCTGACCATGTGTGAAAATGCAAAGCAGGTATTAAAACCAATACTATGTCCAATATTTAAAACCACTTTGTAATTGGGGGGAACATCTAAATCCTTAATTAAAAAACACAAATGAAGTGAAAGCTTTAAACTGGTACACACTGTTCACACCTATATTTCAAGTTTGGAAATGCATATTTGCAAGCAGCAATACAAAAGTATTCATGAAGAATGCATAATCTCTGAAAATTATGAAAACATCCCTGCTACCAATACATTTCTAAATACAAAACTGACTACCATATTTGTTACTTCTGTGTAGCGAGAGAAGTTCATTTTTCAAAACAGATAAAATTCAGTCTTTAGGTGTGAATGGTATGAATGACAGTCTTTTTCTTTTTTTTTTTTTTAAATTTCTTCGTCGTTTGGGATCCTTAAGCATGCAAAGCCTCAGAGAGGAGGGTCCACGATGGAACCAGGGTTGTCTTATGGCATATCCAGTTAAGCCAGAGCTGGAAATGCCTCTGGGTCATCTACATCAGGAGCAGAAGCACTTGACTGAAAAAGAAACAAATCAAAATTAACCACAATTCCCACACTTTGAAAATGGATTAGCAAAGACTATAATCAGACACAGAACTCTAAATCATCTTGATGTTAAAACACTAAGTAAAATGTGCCAAGTTTTTATTTATTAGAGTAAAACTATTGATCAGAATGACTAAATATTTGCAGTGAGGTAGGTCCTAAATTTGAAGACTGTCAGGGGGTTTTGCTTTTCTATCAAACAGTAAATTCTCATTGAGTATGAATGTATATTACTAATTATTATACACTGTGCCCACTTCCTAAACAACAATCACATCGATTGGAAAGCAGGCTAAGAAATCAATTAGCAATTATTTAAGCTGCATATTCATCAATGCTAGGAATAAGCCCAATTGCTAAATACAGACCAAAGCACAAATACTAACAAAACTTTAAAAAAAAAAAAAAAAGGTATCAAAAGGCCCATATACACACACAACACTGACCTTGAAAAACTGTTAGGAGGAAGAAAGAAATATCACAACATTGCCACTGCTGACCATAAAATCTATAGTACTAATTTACCATGATAAAATCAAACATGGACACATTTGATTTAAACCACTTGATGCACTTGATTTAGTAGTTATGCTTCTAAATTTGCCTATCAGACACTGAGAATTCATGAGGACATTATGGTTATTTCCCAACTAGACCCTAAGAGACAATGAAGTAACACTTCAGTTTAGTGGCATATAGTCATTAAAAGCATGGACTATGGATCAGACAGATCTGAGGTTCAAGTTTATTAATTATAAGAGTCTTTTATAAAGTATTTCACTAAGAACTTATCTTGTGCCACACTCTACATGGTATTAGACACTGTCAGAAGTAGGGTAATAATGAATGCCAGTACTTAAGGGTAGTCAACTCAGAAATCAAGGGGGGGGGGAAGTGACTACAGTTTTCTAGGGAATATTGCAAAAGGAACTGATGGACCAAAGATTATGTTTAAGCTGAGACCTAAAAAAGCAGAGAGGAACTACCAAATTACCATAGTAAAAGTAAAGGGAACAGGTTGTTTACTCAGATAAACATTTAGCAAAGACCAATGGTTAACTTAATTCCCTGTGAGTTTCCTCTTCTATACACTGGGGATGTCACCATTATTAGTGATTTAATGATGCAAATCTAAAACACCTAACACAGTATCTAAATGTAGCTGTTTTTAAGGTGACATCGAGTTGGTACTGACTCATAGCAACCTTATGCACAGAATGAAACACTGTCCGATCCTTGGCCAACCTCACTATTGTTGCCACTGATGCTGCCACTTTGCCAATCTATCTTGCTGGGGGACTTCCTGTTTTTCTCTGACCCCCCACCCTACCAAACAAATCCTTCTCCAGGAACTGGTCCCTCCTGACAATATGTCCGAAGTACGGGAGACAAAGTTTGGCCATCCTGGCCTCCAAGGAGAACTCTGGCTGCACTTCTTCCAAAATGGATCTATTGGTTCTTTTGGCAGCCCATGGCACTTTCAATATTCTCCTCCAACACTGTAACTCAAAAGCATCAATTCTTCTACGGTCTTCCTTATTCACTGTCCAGCTTTCACATACATACGAAGTTACTAAAAATACCATGGCCAGGGTCAGGCGCAAGTACCCAAAAAAGGATGTTAATCTAACTCCACTGGAAATAAGCTCTAAACAAAACAGATCCTAAGCAATACTGAGCAACTATTCAAATACAGATTGTATGTGTATTTAAATGCTTTAAACAAAAATATGACCTAAAACACAGCTTCTTGGATACTATCTTTTCTTATTCTTTCTTTTTAAGTCCCCTATAAGCACCCAGCCAGTGAGATTTATCCTAAGAGGTACCTGAATTACTTAAAACGGGGAAAAAAGAAGTCTTAAAATTACCTTGTCAGTCCTGCTGCCACGATTGGGACGCCCACCACGCCCACGTCCACCTCTTCCTCCCCTGCCACCATGTCCTGGGTGGCCAAGGTCTCCAAAATTAATCTCCAGCTGAGACGTTATATCATTTGCTGGCTTCCGGAAATGATGGTCCATAACCGAATCTTCAGCATGAGCCTAAAAATGTAAGTGAAGGTCATTAGAAATTAGACAATGTTGGAAAACTTCTGAATAATTAGCTTTACACTATAAAGACCAAAACCCTAACCTGTACTGTATGAAATGCACACATCAATATACCCAATACAGGAGGAGTCCCTCCCTGGGTAGCCCAAATGGTTAAATGCTACCATTAGCTGAAAGGTTGGCTGTTCCAATCCTCCCGGAAGAACCTCAGAAGATAGGTCTGGCAATCTGCTTCATACAGATTTATCCTTGAAAACCTTATGGAGCAGTTCTGTTCTGCACATACAGGAGCTACGCGTAGGAGCTGACCCAAGAGCAAAGAACTGCAATCCACATTATAGTCAAATTAACATTGCCCTGTGCCATGTCAACTCATTTTAAAGACAATAAAATGAAGGCTCTATTAAAAATTATAACTTTGAAGGTGCTCAGAAAATATAAATACGAATACACAAAACTATAAACTATAAAAATCATTAAGTATACATTATCTAATTTTATAATGTTTGCTATTGTTAGAAGATAGATACAAAAAACACAAATAAATAAGCCTACTGGAAGTTTTTTTTTTTTTTTAATGCAATAATTAAGGGCTCTGATAGCATCGTGGTTAAGTCAGGTTGCTAACCTTAAGGATAAAAACTACCAGCTGTTCAGCACAAGAAAGCTGAGGCTTTCTGCTACCGTAAAGATTTATAACCTTGGAAATCCTATAGAGGGTCACTATGAGTTAGTTGGAACCAATTCTACAGCACATAACCACCACCAATCAAGAGAAGTTTGGGTATGCAGTCCAGGGTAGCATATAGTGTGTGTTCCAACTAAAAATGTTAAGCGCAGTCAAGTCCATTCCAACCCACAGAGACCCTATATAGGGTTTCAAGGAGCAGCTGGTGAGCTTGTACTGCTGACCTAGTGGTGCAAACCAATTTTGCAGTCTAGCACATTAACCCACGATGACACACCAGGACTCTCATAACTACTAACATAAAGATTGGCAATTAGAATCCATCCAGCAAGGAAAACCTTAAGGGCAGTTTCTACTCTAGTGAGAGGCTACTATTAAGCCAGTATTGACTTGGTATCAACAGGTTTTACCAAGATTGGTAGTTCAAACCCACCAGCTACTCCTCAGAAACCATATACATACAGGGTTGCTATGAGTCAGAATGGACAGAACAAAGCTTAACAATAACAATGGGGGTTGGGGAGACTGTTCAGAGTACATCCCTAATCCTTAAAAGCAACTAAAAAATTGCCAAAAAAAAAAAAATGGTATCTGAAGTCGCATCTTTTCCCTAGCTACTTCATACATTTTCCCCTAACTTTTGAAGTCTCCTTGTATTTGTTATATGGATGAAGATAAGTTAACAGTGAGAGCTAAGAGTTATATATATATATAATATACATTAAAGATCATGTAATAAGACCTGATCTTATTGCATGATCTTTAATGTATGTTCTATATGTTGTTGTTATGTACCATGGAGTTGGTTCCGACTCATAGTGATGCTGCACAGGGTTTCTGAGGCTGCAAATCTTTATGGGAGAATCTTCATCTTTCTCCCGTGGAACTGCTGGTAGTTATCAAACTGCAACCTTGAGGTTAGCAGCACGACTCGTAACCACTACGTTACAGCCATATGGCAATAGAGCCAGATACAAATATTAAGCAAGTATCCACATACAGAGGCACAAAAACTTATATGTGACTTGTGTGTGCATATAACTTGTTCTGGCAAAAAGAAGACCAGTCTAGATCAAAAAGTTACAAGCAACTGTCTTAAAAGGAGCTGAAGGTGAAATCTTTCTCACCCTCCATTTCTGAGTTGCTCCACATTAACTTAAATGAGGTTTGTCTAACTGATCTTTCAAGTTGTTATTGTTAATTTGATCCCACATGTTAAGTGCGACCCTATATAGTTTCCTGAGAGCATCTGGTGGGTTTGAACTGCCAACCTCATGGTTCACAGTCCAGTGCTGACCCTGCAGCACCACATATAGGTAGTCCACGAGAATTTGAAATTCTGCCCATCATTTGATGAGGAAGCTTCTATGGAATCTTTGATCAAAACCATTACATAATGGTAGGCAGACACCTTCTGGTAGCATGGCAAAGGGGCAATCAACCATGGAGATAATTAGCCATACATACCATATCCTTATTCTAGACTCTCCTTCCTCTGCTGGTCCAGGTGAATATAACCATCTGTTGGGCCTTACATGGCTACTTGCAAACTTTTAAGGCCCTAGGCACTAAGCAATGGAGCTAGACAGAAGCACTAAAATATTATGAGGCCAATTAACTGGATGTCCCATGAAACTATAAACCTAAATCTCCAAACCAAAGAACCAAATCCCATGAGATGTTTGGTACATACGCAGTCTCAGCAGCTCATTTATTACTTCACACTTTTAGACAAAAACCTATCCATTTGAAACAAAAACTAGATGCAAGCCGATGGAGTAGGTTGTTGTTAAGTCCCATCAAGTCAGTTCCAACTCATATTGAACCTGTATAGGGTTTCCAAGGTGCAGCTTGTGAGCTAGAACCACCGACCTTTCCATTCAAACTGACCTTTCAGTTCACGGCATTAACCCACAGCACCACACCAGGACTCCAATGGAGTGGATACTGACTGAAATTTTTAACCTTGTAGAGTACATTTGTAATTATGACTCATCACGTTTGGATATAAAGCTACTTACAGATGTTTCAGAATAATAGGTCTCCTATAGATTACACAGGTAATAGTAAATTGTTAAAAAAAAAAAACAAAAAAAAACCCTTATTTTCTAACCACCCGCCCTCCAAATTTACGTGACTTCAACTTCAATGCTATTTGTAAATGCTTTCACATTTTCCTCATAGCCATCTTTTTCTGGCTTTTTATTAAAACAAGAGCCATTGAATCTTACTTATATAAGTTGTTGCCTTCGTAACATAGCAAGCACTAGGACATAACCTTTAAAAGCATCCCAAGCTTAAATGTTGTTTAGTTGGTTCCAACTCTTAGTGACCCTGTTTAGGGTTTCTAAGAAATGGATGGTAGGCTTGAACTACTGACTTTGCAGTTAGCAGTACAGTGCTTATCTTACAGCACTACAGTTATGGTACTACAGTACTACTAAGATAACTACATTTACCATATCAAAAGCCACAAGGTTAACTTTCTTCAGTAAAAGAGAACAGTATTATTTACTGGCTCTGATCCATTTCTATATAGCTTATGCCAACAGTTTCAAAAAAGTTGAGTATCAAATGAAGCTTCTAATTCTTTATAAAGGAGCTCTGGCAGCATAGTGGTTATGAATTGGACTGCTAACCTCAGTCAGCAGTTCGAAACTACCAGCTGTTCCGCGGGAGAAAGATGAAGCTTTCTGCTCCTATACATATATATAGCCTCGGAAACCCTGTACAGGGTTGCTGTGAGTTGGAATAGATAACAACAACAGTTCTTTATGAACTATGAAAGTCATATGAAAATGGCAACCACTTTTCTATTGTTCACATTAATGAAAAATAATTACTTTCTTTCTCTAAAGAGTTCCATCTTTTACTGTGCTTTAGTTAGGTGACATGTGAAATATAACCATAACCTTGAAAAGAACTATTTGAAAAGCACTAACAAGCTTTTTGATAAACCACTAATAACTTTTCAGGAAAAAGACATTAAACATACTTCAGAATTGAAGGACAAAAGTAATGATAATGCTATTTTTATCTTCCTTTTAATCAAATGTTAGCTGCCCCAAATGATCCTATATAAAGCTTTTTTTATAAATGGAATATTATCTGCCTGAAATTTAAAAATAAAGTTTCAAGCATGTTAAGTCACATCCAAATATTTTTCAATCACACAAAACTTAAATTTACCTCTTCACTCTTTGACTTATGAAGAACAAATCCCTTCTTCCACTGTCCATCAGCACCTTCATTTGGTTTTCGGATATTAAATTCTACTTTTGCCCGGTCTTTATTTTGAATAGCCTTCCATTCATCCAATGTCATCTCTTTTGGACCCTCTTCCTTTACCTCTTCAACTTCATTCTCCCTGTGAAAAGATTTTAAATTTTATATCTGGTAAAGGGGCTCACTGCTATCATTTAAATAAAGTATTTCAACTGACTTTATAATCTTCATAAACATAGAACCGACGACTTTGTGGTTGGTGATCAAGTGCTTATCCTCACAATATAACTCATAACACATACTATAAAAATCATCTAGTATTCCTTGTGTGCAACCAAGCTAATATTCTGGAGTATAAAAGAATATTTTCCTCTATTCTTGAGTCCAGCAACTCTTAAAAGCAGAACAAAACAAACTCATGTCAAGCTTCTACCAATTCTACGTAACTCAACTTTACAACCAACCTGTATACATATGAGGTACAAAAACTACACTGGCTTTTGTTAATTTAATCCTACATGAGTAGAGAAACAAAGCACAGGCCTAGAAATCCATTATTTTAGTTGAATCTCAATTTTCAATTGTTATCAAAAGCAAGTTGTTTGCTATTTTGGGAGTACTACTTCTTTTCCAAAGATAGCAGGTGATTCAATTATCCTCAGAGCTCACTTTATCTCCCCACTTTGATATCCTTTACTGTCTGACAATTACACCCTGAAGCCTCTTAGAGTAAGCTAACATTTTAGCTAAAATAAAATGTTTAATCATTTCATGAGCTCTGATACATATTGTGACTACCTGTATGTTCTGCAAGTAGAGAAGTGATTCCACTTTTAATGTGTGCTAATATGGCAGATGCCCGTAAACTGCATAAATCTAAAGAAATGGATTTTGTCCTTGTCCCATCAACCACAACAGACACCACTTGGGACATATGTGTGCCACTAATTGTTCTGTAAGCAGTTCTGATAGTGTGGTAGTTACAAATCGGGCTGGTGCCTCAAGGTCGGCAGTTCAAAACTACCAGCTGTTCCATGAAGAAAAATGAGGTACTCTACTTCCTAAAGATTTGCAGCCGACACCTCAGTACTTAACAATTGTATCTGTGCATGGAGCCTCAAAACATTTTTTCATTGAATCAAAAATGCTTTTCATTATTGAAAACACATGGTTTCAACAAACAAAATTCAAGGCAGCAAATAATTCAGTTTTGAATGACTTCATCTACCTAGTTATTCATAAATTTTGACACAGCCAGGAATAAACTTCAGCATACTTAAAAAATCACAACATGAAGTCATCTACTCCAAGAGTTGCTGGGAGGATCAAATGAGATCCAAAAAAATCAACTTGGAAAGCATCTTGCTATGGCGCTGCAGACTAATGCACTGGACTGCAAGGTCAGCAGTTCAAATGCACCAGTTGCTCCTTGGAAACCCTATACAGGGTCGCTATGGGTCGAAACATACTGGATGGTACTTAACAACAAATCAAAGCTAGCCAAAGCTGTGCTTCTTAAATTTATTATTTCCCTATCTAAGATATACTAAGTTCAGATTTTCTTCTACTCTGGATCCAGGAAGACAAGAGACCGAACGCCCTGCTTAGCCACTAACCAGAGGGTAATCTTAGTTAAGACCCAGGAGTTAAATTTATCTGTAAAATAAGGACAAAAGGACAATGACCTTACGTTTATAAATTGGTAAAAATTTAATATATTTAATGGTGCTTGGTTCTACGCAAGTAAAGGTATCAGACCAGCAGTAGATGAATGAATATAATTTAGCTAAGATAAATACAAGGTTATATTATTCTAGTAGTCAGTTTTCCAACAAATTTTCTTCTCACGTTCTATTGGGGACCAGTTTATCAATTAGTACCTCTAATTCTATCACTCAAAAACAAACCAAAGTTCTTCTCTTATAGGAGCTCTAATGTGATCACAATTATCTTCTTTAGACCAATATCCTAAATTCATTCCTGTGTCCTTAATAAGGAATTTATTTACAGGAGCTCTGGTAGCGTAGTGGTTACGAATCGGGCTGCGAACCTTAAGGTCAGCGGTTCGAAACTACCAGCCGCTCCGCGGGAGAAAGATGAGGCTTTCTACTCCCGTAAAGATTTACACCCTCGGAAACCCTGTACGGGGTCGCTATGGGTCGGACCCGACTCGATGGCACTTAACAACAACAACAACAACAACATCAACACAGCTGGAGTCCTGGTGTGGCGCTGTGGGATAATGCAAAGTCGTTTGGACTGCAACATCAGTGGTTCAAGCTCACCAGCTGCTCTTTGGAAACCCTATACAGGGTCGCTATGGGTCAGAATCGACTCAATGGCACTTAACAACAACAACCAAAACAGCATTTCCTTCTGTAAACAGGTATAAGCTTTGCAAAATCACTCTGAATCTGATTCAACTTTTGTTTGGATTGATAAGACAGGTATTAAATATTTCTACCAGCATAATCTGAAACTGTCACTCCTGAAAACACAAAAACTTAAAAACTGTTATCTATCTAAACTCAGAAAATTATTAAAAATATATTCTGAGCTTTGCTTTTATCACCTATTTTAAACAAAAGAGTAAATGTTATGTCCCAAATTGTATGCCATGGGAAAAAACTAAGGAGGAACTTATTTTTAAATAGCAAACTTTCCAGTTTTTAACTATATCACAATAAAATTTATAATTAACAAATAGTTAAATGTACACTGAACTACAAGTTCTAAATATTTGTAACATTTAGTATAATCTTTAGAAATCCTTAACTCCAGCCTCTATTTCTCAAAGTCCCTCCCATATACCAAGTAAGGTAGTTAGGTCTAACAAAAACCATCTTATTCCTATGTTCCATTTTCATATTACATACAATGATCATCTTTACTGTTGCTAGGTGTCAGGAGTTGACTTGCGACTCATAGCAAACCTGTACAATGTTTCTGAGGAGCAGCTTGTAGGTTTGAACTGCAGACCTTATGGTTCACAGTCCAGTGCTAATTCTACAGCATTCTGTTAAACACTGGCGGTTCAAGCTCAACAGCTGCTCTTTGGAAACCCTACACAGGGTAATTATGGGTCAGGATCAACTCGATGGCACTTAATAACAACGTTAAATAGCACCAAATAGGTTCCGATTCACAGCAACCCACTGCAGTTTCCAAGGAGCTGGTGAGTTTGAACCAACAGACTTACTGTTACCAGTCCAGTGCTTATCCTAAGCACCACACCAGGACTCCTACAGTAGAGAAGAATTTTTGTGCTTAGGACTAACAGACTTTACAAAACCATGTATACTCCTTCTGACAATGATCACTAATCATATTAAGAGCAAACCCAATTAAAAATATTCCTGCTTATCAGACCAGTGAACATATATACATACATATATGTGCAGCTCCACGGCACATAACAACAAATGTGCAAAGCACTCATCTAAAATTGACATTTGAGGGATACCCACTACTGAATTGATTCTGACTCAGAGACCCTACATAGGGTTTCTGAGACTATAAACCTTTATGGAAACACACAGCTTCATTTTTCTTCCATGGAACAGCTGGTGGGTTTGAACTGCCAACCTTGTGGTTAGCAGTTTAGTTCTTATCCTATTATGCCATCAGGAATGGGAATATGTAAAACATTAAAAATTTCTGTCAAAAAACAATCAAATAGCAGTATTAAAAACTGTGAGTTAGAGTATTTATTAGTAAAAATTTAAACTGGTTCCAATCCTGGAACATTAAATTTAACATTTATAAAGCCACTTACTTATTTTCAGTGTCGGCCACTGGATGTTCTTCACCTTCAGGTGTTTCCTCAGTCACATTTGATTGATCCAAGTCACTGCAATTATAAGACATTTGTTTCTGAATGTATCTGGGATATTCTCTAAGGAAAGAAAAAAAAAAAAAGAAAAAGAAAAGCATCTGGGTCCATTTACATGTTGTCTGTTTGTTTTTTAATATAAAACTATTAAAATCCTCAGTCCCCCTAACAGCCTTATTCTATTAAACATTCTCTCCAGTAGGCCTCTAAGAGAAAATATAGTATAATCTTTAGAAACCATGTTAAATTGGTATATCCAAAGAGACAAGATAGTTGGTGCTTAAGGCCAAGAGCTAGAAAAGGAACTATGAAAGACACAAGATATTCAGAAGACCTGAATTAATGTCAATTTAAGATTTCAGGAAAAACTATATATTCTTATGAAAATACATACAAGTGTGTATATATGTGTACACACACTTAAATACGGGTCATTTAATGATTGCCCAATTAAATCCAGTAAGCTATTATCTGGTAATGAAGTTGCTGAGATAAAGAGTAGCCATTCTTGCCCAGGGATAAAGTAGAACTCAGCAGAAGTATGGGTGAACCTCTAGCTAGTGTCTAATACGATAGAGAATCAACTTTATTAATTAATTTAAGTGAAAAATCAGAATACCAACGTTAATTCATCTTTGACAGTTCCCCAGTTGTGAGATCCGCTACCTCCACGCTTGTCTTCATGTTTCAGGCCACTATAATGTGAAAAAGAACTAAAAAAACTGAGTTAACATAATACTCTTTCATTATAGAAATTCACATCTTGTTTTATTAAAGCAGCAGCTTAAAATACAATAAAATAAAAACTAATATAAGACTTACGATCTATCACTCCCACTATGCCTATCAAATTCACGTTTGCCACGGGAATCAAATCCATCTCCTCGTCCCATTCCACGTCCACGGCCTCCTCGACCTCTTCCAAGACCACCACGACCTCGAATAGGCCGGTCAATAATTGGTCTACAAGACAGAAAATATGCTCCCAAGATTTCCAGAAAAAATAATAATGGAATCCACCAAGAGTGCAAAAATACAGAAACATGTACTGGCTAGTAATCCAATAGTTAAATATGTGTTTTTAGGACATTCAAAAGTCTACTTATAAAACACATAGTTCAAAATAAATTAGGTATTTCCCCAAAACAACTCAGAAAATATTTGGCATTTGCTAAAACTAATGTTCACAGCCCTCTTCATCACTGTACATTATAATCTATGGAAAATGGCTATTAGTTTTAACTAAAACACGTAAACACAACTCGCATAAGATTTTGCTATAAGTAATTAGGTAAAAGGATTTGCTTTTAACTCAACATATGGGATAACAAGTAAAAGAAAGATGTTGAGTACCACTGGCCTATAATTCTGACTCAGAGCAACCCAGTTAAGACATAGAACTGCCTCAGTTTCCTAGGCTGAAATGGTTGCAAAGCATATTGCCAGTTTTTTTCTCCCATGGAGCCACTGGTGGCTTTGAACCACGGTCCTTTCACTGGCACTTAATCATTGGGCCACCAGGGCTCCTTAAAAGAAATCAGCAATCAATTTAATTGAAACATTTCATTATAGGAAATGTAAATTTGAACACTAAACATGGTTACAATAAGATCAAAGTATAACAAATGTCATATATTCTGTTTTTCTTATTTAAAAAAAAACCCAAAACCCCACCACAAACCTGATAACGCTATCTGGCAATTATGTTCACCTTATAACTGTGACACTAAAAAAATTGATGAAACATTTGAGATTAAACACACACACGCTTACTTACCTATCAACTGAAAACTCTCCACCTTCACCCTTTTCTTCAAGTGGTTTTTCAAATCGCCTTTCCCGAGGTGGCCGCCTTTCTGGTCGTCTATCAATTATTTTCCCTTCACCCTGAAGTTGCTGATCCGGTCTTCTTCCAACACGTCTTATTCCTAAAATAGTAACAGCGAAGTGTTTTTGTAACATAAAAGTTTAGATCTAAACTTAAATAAATCACTACTTTCGGTTCACTAAGTAATACTTCTTGTTAAAAAGGCAAACATTGAATGCCACTCAAGTGTACTTTAAGAAAATTCCTATTTAAAGATAACAAACTTGCTTCAAACTTCTATTTAGTTTCCCAAGTCACTTGGGGAAGCCGATTCCTCCCTTTTCAAAATGTTGTCTCAATTATGATTAGTACAGCCCCACAACTTAAAATAGATTTTTAATCAGAAATTGTATCTTTTTTATATATGTATATATATTACTTATGTGTTTATTATATACATCACCAAACTTCTGTTATATAACGACTAAGATATTGTTTGGTTATTTTGTTACTATGCATGGAAATTAACTTCTAGTTGGCCTTTAGAAATAGCTTGCTTTCAAAGAGTCTTATAAAACCATACTTAAAAACCACCACTTTAGGCAGCATTTTAAAAGCAGAAATTTGTAGCACTGATAGCTGAAGCATTTACTCATTTCCCTCCTTATTACTTTTTTCTTAGTAGTGTCTGCTCACCAAAGTCAACCAATAGAAACTTTATGGTGCTCTAAATAAGCAGGTAGGGGTTAAATTCATCAATTCATAAAATCACCTGTAAGATCCCAGGTATGCTGTCATTCCCAAACCACAATTTCTAACAAAGCCAAAAAGCAGCTGAGGGATTGATTTTGTAACAAGATCTTTAAGTTGATTCACTCTGATTCTTTCTAAGAAAGTGGAACATCATCAAGATACACCCAATTAATTGTCCAGTTCACTGCAGAACAAGTAGAGCCAAAGAGTAAATATTAAACTCTTTAATAAAAGTTTATTCCATGCAATCTCTCAGAAGAGACCACAGATGTTAGATCTTATAACCAAAGAATTTAAGTAAGTTTCTTCAGAGGTACTACATATGGGGTGGGGCTATGGAACCAGTCTTATAATGATATCCAAGCTATACACACCCAAATGAACAATGGCTTGCTTCCCCACCCAATCTTCAGTAGTAGGCTTAAAGAATCTAAAAAACTTACTAAATAAATTAACCCAATGAAAAATGATTGTCACTAAAATCACAAGCTCCTCTTGCTACAGTTCTCTGTATTTGAGGGCTGATTTTAGATTCCAGCCTTTTATCACCTTAATAAAACCATGACTGGTCTACATTCTCAGTATCATTTTCTATTGTGTCACTTCTCAAGTTCTTTAAAATGGACAAATGACAATCTAACCACTACAACAAGGTAGGTAGGGGCTTTGTTTACAGATTTATCCCCAATGCTCAGAACATTGCCCGTACTAGTGGTTGATTGATCTCTAAACAACTTAGTTTAAGTAAACTTTTTTCTACATTTTGAAGACTATGTTTTTTAAACAACTCAACTTTTATGGTGATCTACAATGGTGATCTAAGGAAAATGTTGACAGCTAGTATCAAATAATTTTCCCAAGGAACATATTTCTACAGAATGGTGAACTTAGTCCTAGTCACAAATTTATGAAATCATTCTCTATTTGTAATTCAAAATGTTTTTGCTAAGAATTTATTTCAAAGAAGGGCTTTTATAAGCAACACAGAGGAGCTAAATGGTGTTTCATATGCTTTCAAAGTCTGTTAATACCCATACGCATTTTAGATTTGTTTCATACTCCCTTCTTTCATGTGCTTTCTTTGACTAAGTGCAATCATGTAGATGTTTTAGTCGATTGTGCTACAGGTTTCCATAAAGTGGCTGAATAGGTATTTATCTATATGATGCAAACACATCTTCTAATACACCAACTTGTGCTTTCTCCCACTCTGTAATTTAAAAAAATTCTTTTCTTCACCGTATAGGTTTTTCTAGTCTCAAAAATACTTAGCCAAAAAAAAAAAAAAAAAAGACAACACCTTTAAACCAAATGCCTGTATTCTGAGTACAAGTTTAATTCTGGTTTGCATTTTGCCCATTCATTGAATGCTAAAAAATTCAATGAAGGCTAATGAAAAACACTCCATGGAAGAGCACGTGGCAGCAAAGAGTAATCTCAGACAATTTAGAACCCGCATCTACTTTTTTTCTTGTGTCCCCAATGGATTCCCTTTTTCTTCCACCAAAACAGACCAACCTATTAACGAGCCAGAATACAGAAAGTCAAGCTCAAGAAAACCCTGTGAATGCACAGTGCCAGGCCAGCAGCTCGGCCAGCCAGTCGGCTCCTGATGGCGCACGCTTGCACATGGGGAGAAGGCTGCAGACTCGTGCGCTCCTGCAGTGGCCAGTGTTGTGACAGCCTCGGCACCCCTTTCCCACCACGAGGTCCAGGCCACGCCACCCCACACGAAACGCGAAGTGCGGGGAGCTGGGCGAACCTGAGTGCGATTCCCCAAGATTCCCTGCAACCACCAGTCTTCAGGATTCCGGCTTTGGCTTGGGAGAGAGTAGACACATTCCCCCCGTCCCAACAGCGTTAACCAACTCCTGAAAATGATCAGATTCTAATACCGGCTGGGGGGAGCACACGCGGCACCCCTAACAACAGCTTACTCCAGGCTCTGATCGTCTCGAGCCCAGAAGCAACTCAGGTGCAAATCCGACTCCAGCTTTTCATTGGGGTACTCCCCACGCTAGAGTGGGGCAAGATGGCAGGGTAGCCGGCTAAAACTGCCACGGCCACCTCTCCCGAGCACGCTGAGACAGAACTCTGCGCAGGGAGAAGCTGGGACCCCGAGTGTTCCCGCACCTCGGGCCATGCGCCCGCCCAGGGAATCCGGCGGGAAGGCGACAATCTCCCAGCAGCTAATCTGGGGACCACGCTCCCTCGCTCAGAACCGGAGGCGGGAGGGGTGGCTCCGGGGATCCCTGCAGACAGGGGTTTGAACTTGGGACTACCACGCTCCCTGCACTTTCCAGGACCTGGCTTTTGTCGCGTGGTAGAAATGCGAGGAAACAGGCGGCAAAATCTGTCGCGGCTCCTCCGAGCTCCTGAAGCAAGTGGCAGTCGCAACTCCCCTCTCTCCTTCCCTCCGTCCCCCGTCTTCCCCACCTTCTACTCAAGCTTTACCTTCTTTCTTAAGCGCCACGGGCGGCTGCGTCTCCTCTTTCTTGTCAGCCACGCTAGCATTGGGGGGCAGTGGGTTCTTACGGTCTTTCTGGGACTCTTTACGCAGCTGTTTGCCTGCCGCGTTGGAGTTGGTCTGGGCTGCGGCCTGAGCTGCGCTCTTGGCCCCCGGGCCCCCAACGCCGCCCCCACCGGCTTCTTTTTTCTTGTTCTCTGCCGCCTTTAACACCTCGAAGGGATCCGACTCGTCGTCAAATAACTGGTCGAATCGGTTGGTGACCACGCAGCCGAAGCCTTCCTGTAAGTGCCCAGGCATGATGGTGGCTCGGCGGCGCGTTCCTCCACGGATTGCAGCGGGCCGCGCCGAGCCAAAATGCGCCTGCTTCAGCTCTTCCCACAAGATGGCCGGGCCGAGAGAGGGGGGCCGTCTTCTCTTCCGGCGCCAGGCACACATCCGGGAGCGGCCTGTGCCGCACAGCACCATGGGCTATGTAGGCCACAATCCGTTCTCTAGAGGCTACTCTCAGCACGGGGACTACAATTCCCAGGATGCATCGCGCGACAACTCTTCGCGCGCGCCTAAGAGGCGTGATCTCAAGGAGGCAATGGAGCGTGCGAGTTGAGGGTGGGGAAGCGTGTTGGTGGGCGGAGTCCTGCCACCTGCTCTTGCCACCCCTAAACTCTCTAGGTCTAGCGACTCTGAAAACAGGAAAACGTGACGGCGTATTTTACTCGTGAAAGTGTCCTGTCTTTGGTTTTACTCACCGTACCTCCGGCCCACGACTAACTTTCTCCACCTCTCGGGGAGGGTCAAGGTGACTCCTAGATCTTTCAACTAGAGATTCACAAACTTCCGGGGAGGGGGAGAGGGAGCACGGCTTACTGAGGTGCTGTGCGGGCTTCCAGTAAGTAGGACCCTGACTGTTCCTAATACCTAGCGGCTCAGTTTGTGGAGTCGTCCTCCTTCACCCCCTAATAGTGAATAGAGACTCTTCTGTTTAGTCTGAAGCGGTTTACACTTCCTCTCAGCGGGACGTGAACTCCCATAAAAGAAATAATCAAAAAGAGACAAATTGAATTGTCACAGGGGACGGTTGCGCGCCTTTCCCAAGCAAGAAATGCCATGTTGGAAACGGGCGCTTTAGAGCTGTTAGTCCGACAGTGCAGAACGAAGCTGGGAAAGCCTCGAAAAGGCACTTTTGATAACTACTTTCTAAAGCTAATCTAAGGTGTTAATGTTTGGGAGGCAAGACTAGGTGACTGATTGATGGTAGTAACATGTGCTCAAGACATAACATTTTAAAGCATCTCAGTGTGTTTGGAGATGCAGTTAAGAGAATGAAACAAGGCAGCAAATGAATTGCCATTACTAAAAGCATTGGTATTATTTGAGAATCTTAAAATCTATTAAGGTAAGGTAATGTCGATGCATATTCAAACACATTTGCTAACCCTAAAAGTGTTTAAATATACCATTATAATGGATTTTCAAATCTTTTCCCAGTAACACACAATATAATAGAAAATGAATTTATATGCCCAGTGCTATAAGTAACTTTGATCTCAACAACTCTTTTTCACAGATGAAGCCATTGCAGAGACTTACCTAGTTCACACCTGTAATCAAATGTCAGTGGCAGGAGTTAACCTAGGCTAACTCCTCTGTGAGACTGTTGACAACTCTTTAATTCAGACTCTGCTTTCTCATAAAATTCATCCAATTATTTATTAATTTTCAATACTTAATGAGATTTAAACATTGCTTGTTGGTCAGAGTTTTGAATGTAATTTAATCAGTTTCTCAGCATATTTAAAATCAATTCTGTTACAGGGAAAACAGAAGACAGAATCATATTACAGGCATGTGGCAGCAAGCCTTGCCTTTAAAATGCTCCTCAAAGTCAACTGTTGCCTCAGTTCCCATCACACACATCCCTTTCTCATCTCCTCTTTCACAGGCTCTGGCTCTTGTGGCTCAAAAAAAAACAGATAAGGAACTTTTGACCATACTCTTTCTACCCCTTTAAAAATAGCTCAAGAAACATTGGGAAAATCTTCATAATTCAGCAAATCCTTTCTTTTCACCAAAACCCAAACAAACAGAACAACCCCACACTTATTGCTGTCTCGTGGATCCAACTCACGGGAATGCCAGTCATTAATAGTAGAAATGCCCCCTGGAGTTTTTCTTGGCTGTAATCTAATAGCACTGTAGGATAAGCGCTAGACTACTAACTGAAAAGATGGTAGTTCAAATCCACAAGCTTTTCTTAAGGAGAAAAATTAAAAGTTTCTGTTTTTGTAAAGATTTATAGCTTTAGAAATCCCGTGCAGAGTCCCTCTGAGTCAGAACTGACTTAATGGCAGTAGGTTTGATTTTGATTTGGAATCTGTATGGAAGCAGATTGCCAGGTACTTTTGTGATGCCTCTGAGTGGCTTCAGACCACCAATTTTTAGCTTAACATTTGATTGCAAACCAGTTGTGCCAACCAGGACTGTTAAAATCTTCATCTTTGGAGCATCTGCTAAAGCTATTCTTCTTTACTCTTTCTGGCCAGTGCCATAACAATATTGCTATGTGCTTGGTATACTTTACATGTGTGATCTCATCTAATCCTCACATTAAATCTTTGAGGAAGATACTATTATGCCCAATTTAAGGTGAGGAACCACCACTCACCTCTCCGTTTATACTACTGTGATGGCTTGTGTGTTGCTATGATGTTGGATGCTATGCCACTGGTATTTTCAAAACCAGCAGGGTTACCCATGGTTGGCAGGTTTCAGTGGAGGTTCCAGATTAAGACAGACTCAGAAGAAGAAGTGACGGGCTACCTCTGAAAGTTTAGCAACTTAAAACTTTATTGAGTAGCAGTAGAACATTGTCATATATAATGCTGGAAGATGAAAACACTATGAATAGTACCAGAATATCATCAGATGTAGTTCTGGAAAATGACTCCCTCAGGTTGGAAGGCACTCAAAATAAAACTGGGGAAGAACTGCCTACTCAGAGTTGAGCATGATGACGTGAATGGAATAAAAGTTTTTGGGACCTTCATTTGCTGATGGCTCAAAATGAGGAGAAACAGCTGGAAACATCCATTAATAATCAGAGCATGGTATGTACAAAGCATGAATATAGGAATATTGAAAGTTGTCAAAAATGAAATGGAATGCATAAACATCAATATCCTAGGTGTTGGTGAGCTGACATGGACTGGTATTGGCCATTTTGAATCTGTCAGTCATATGTTTACTATGATTTGAATGACAAATTCAAGAGGAATGGCATTACATTCTTCATCAAAATAACATTTCAAGATATATCTTGAAGTACAATGCTGTGTGTGATAGGATACTATCCATATGCCAACAAGGAAAACCAGTCAATGCCACTATTATTCAAATTTATGCCCCAACCACTAAGCCCAGTGATAATGAAATTTTATATAATTCTAACAACTTCTTCTGGAGTCTTGGTGTGGTCCAGGATAAAACACTGGACCTCAAGATTGGCTTGAACTGCAAGGTCAGCAGTTCAAACCCACTAGACACTCCTTGGAAATCCTATTCAGAGTCTCTATGAGTTGGAACTGACTTAACGGCACTTAGCAACAGCAAAACCAACTTCTTCAGTCTGAAATTGATAAAACATACAATCAACATGCATTGATACTTACTGGCAGTTGGAATGCAAAGGTTGGAAACAAAGAGGGAGGATCAGTAGCTGGAAAAGGTGGTCTTGGTCATAGAATTGATGCTGGAAATTGCATGAAAGAATTCTTCAAGACCAAGTACTTATCCATTGCAAATACCTTTTTTAAACAACATAAAAGTCAATTATTCACATGGATCTTACCAAATGTAATATATAGGAATCAAATTGACTACATCTGTGGGAAGAGATGGTAGAAATGCTCCATATCATCCGCCAAAACAAGGCCAGGGGCAGAATGTGGAACAGATTATCAATTATTCATATGCAAGCTGAAGCTAAATTAAATTAAAACAAATCCAGAAAACCCCAAAAATATGACCTTGACCATGTAACACCTTAATTTAGAGACCATCTCAAGAAGATAATTTATTCATTAGACACTGAAGACTGAAGACCAGAAGAGTTGTAGGATGATATCAAGAATATCATATAGGAAGGAAGCAAAAGGTCATTAAAAAGACAGCAAAGTAAGAAAAGACCAAAATGGATGTCAGAAGAGACTCTGAAACTTGGTCCACAGTGTAGAGATGCTAAAGCAAATGGAAAAAATGAGGAAGTAAAAGAGCTGAGCAGAAGACCTCAAAAGGGAGCTTGAAAAGACAAAGTAAAGTATTACAATGAACTGTGCAAAGGCCTAAAGTTAGAAGACCGAGAGGGATAACATGCTCAGCACTTCTCAAGCTGAAAAAATTCAACCTCAATTTGCTACATTGAAGGATTCCATGGGCAAAATATTGAATGATTTAGAAAACATCCAGATAAAGTGGAAAGAATACACAATCACCATACTTAAAAAGAAATAGTCGATGTTCACTCATTTCAAGACAGCATAGCATCAAGAACTGATGTTACTGAAGGAAGAAGCCCAAACTGCACTGAAGGTATTGGTGAGAAACAAGCCTCCAGGAATTTACAGAATACAAATTGAAATCTTTGAACAAATTGACAGAGCAAACAAAGTGCCCAGTCATCTATGCCAAGAAATTTGGAAGACAGCTGTTTGGCCTACTGATTGAAAGAGAACCATATTTGTACCCATTCCAAATAGAGATTACCCAACAGAATGTGGGAATCATCTAATGATATCATTAATACCACATACAAGATAAATTTTGCTGAAGATAATTTTAAAATGCTGCAACATCAACAGGGAACTGCCAGAAATTCAAGCTGGATTAAGAAGAAAACGAATTAGAGATATCATTGTGGACATCAGATGGATCTTGGCTGAAAGTGAATACCAGAGAGATTGTTGTTGTTGTCAGGTGCCATTGAGTTGGAACCGACTCATAGCGACCCCACGCACAGCAGAACAAAACATTGTCCGATCCTGGGCCAACCTCACTATCGCCGCCACACTTGACGCCATCAATGATGCAACCTGGCCCATCCATCTCATTGGGTATCTTCCTCTTTTTCTCTGACCCTCCATCTTACCCAGCATGACATTCTTCTCCAGAGACTGTTTCCTCTGGACAATATGTCCAAAGTATGAGAGAC